GGGCACGCACGCACACGCGCCCGGCGTGAGTTTTAAGCCACCGGGTCCGGGACGCGAACCGCGGTCGACTACGTGGGAGTCCAGCGACATAACCATTACGCTAACTGCTGGTTCCCCCAAATGCCCACATTTTATGGCAGAAACTGAAAGATGGGAAAAGGAAAAGAAAATGGAATATTGGCATTTTGATACATTTCAGTGTGAGAATCTAATGCTTCCACAGATCTGACAGGAGGCAGAGCTCAGGTGGTAATGCAAGTGATGGGGAAAGGCTGTAAGTACAGATGAAGCTTTGTTTGCTTCCCTGCTGTTCATCTACTGCTGTGTAGTGAGTTCCTAACAAGCCACAGACTGAGAGTGGTCCATGGCCTAGGGACTGGGGACCCCTGTCCTATAGAAAGTCCACTCAGCAGAGGAAGCAGCCAGTACAGAGGCCCAGAGGTGAGAGACTACTTGTTGATTCACTAATCAGCACCGAAGTCCCTGTCATTAGACTTGGAGCCTTCTGAGGAACATGCCTGAGTCTTTCTCATCAAACAAGAGTGGTCAGAGGGCAAGGCAGGGTCCACTTTCTCCTTTCTGTAGGCCAGTCATCTTTCTCTAGTCCTGGACAGACCTAGAAGTAAGGGTGGAGGAGGGACAGATGTTGAATCTGCTACAGTCTGTAGAAAAGGCAAGAATGTCAAGGAATAGGCAGGTGCTGTGCTGTCCCAGAGCCTATGACTACCACCCATGCTGTTTCTGGTTTTAACTCCTAGTGGTCCCAACCTGTCACCCTATCTGCACCCTTGCCCCTGCCATAGCCCACATTCCACTGAAGCTCCAGCCTCTCCAGATAGTCATCTCCTGGTAGTTATTTGTTTCCTCTCTCTCTTGCCAGAGGTTGGGCATGAAAAAGGGGTGATGCAAATGCTGCCACTCCACATTCTACCTCAAGTCCCCCTCAAGTCCTAGGAGGTACTTAGGAGTATCTGAATCTTAGAATCTCAGCACACATTCTATGCTGACTCCAGGCCTGTGTCCCAGGTCTTCTTATGAGCAAAAAATGATTAGAACTAGAGAGTCACTTCCTTATTATACCCAAATCATTTCTGCTTCTTCTGCTGTCTTGCTGACAAGACATGTTCTTCTAAATTCCACTGATTTAAGACATTTCTATTCTTACCAGGGAAGCATAAGTGGCTACAAATTCCCAAACATGCCTGACCACATCTACAATCTTAGAAGACACGTTCTGGTGCAGATGACCAATTTGACAGTTCTGATCATCATTCAGGCCCTTCCCCTCTTGATCAGGCAAAAGGCTGCAGCTAGAAGTTTCCCCTGCAGCATTCTAGGGCTCAAAGAGGTTCTGTCCCAACCAGGTCCTGTCCTCCTTCCCTTTGAAACCTGCTTTATAAAAATTTTTATTACTTATTATTATTCATGCATTTAATTGTTATACATCATTTAGTTTGTAAAGAGAGTTTACCCAACATGATATATGCCACACAGCAGGCGAGTTGAGAATACTATACACGACATCACCAACAGGCAACAGACCATATCTGTGTCCCATAAGTGTCTTCTCCATTTTTTCCCAAATTTTTCTTCCCGCACTCTTCCCCTCTCCCACTCTCTTTCCACTTTGTCCCCAGTGTCCATAACAATTTTCAATGCTTTTATGACTTCCAGTATTTCAGTCTCTACCATAGAATGTAGACAGTTGGTATATGTTAAGTGGAGACATACAATGTCTCTGTTTCATAGCCTGACTTGCTTCATTCAGCAATAAATCTTCCACGTTCATCCACTTTCTATGCCAGGGTCTTGTGTGTGTGTGTGTGTGTGTGTGTGTGTGTGTTTAATTAAAAAAAAATTATGGCTGAATAGTATTCTGTGGAGTATATGAAGCCCCTTTTTGGGACCAGAGCTATGGGGAGAGGCACTCCTGACCTCTGAGACCCCTGATTAGGGAGAAGGCAGGTGAGGACTGGGAACGGAAGGCCCCAGAGCAGAGAGTGGCTCACCAGCTGGGCCTGGCCAGCTGCCCTGTGCTCCAGCTAGGGCTTTGAAAGCCCAGCCCTAGGCTAGTGTCACCACCACCTGCAGCCTCACCCCAGCCTCCTGAGTCATAAACTCTGGGGTGGGCCAGCTCTCTGTGTTTTAACAGGACTCCAGGAGATTATGACATAGGATGGGGCAGAAACTCAGACATTGACTGGGACTGTGAGTTTAGTAGAGTCCTGGCATCCTACTGCTCTGATCATGCGAAGCCACGGGAAGCCACAGGCCTGATGGAATCAGATGAATCTCCACATGGGAGACAACTGTAACCTCGTCTCTTTGTCCCCAGGATCTTGGGGGGGACACAGAGTTAAGTGCCGTTGCTTTGAATGTCCTTGGGTAATTAAGGGGGAGCTGCCTGTCTGAGTCAGATAATCTAATTTACCCACTTAGTTAAGGATTGTGCTTCATCTTGCACTTTACCCAACTGAGGAAGGGGAGGTTGTCTTGGTTGGAGTTTGCTGTCCAGGGATTCTCTCTCAACCTCTATTCTTTTAAGGGGGGCCTTTTATGGAAAGTTTCCTTAAGAACTCAGGCCCATCACAATCCAGAAAGATTTTAATTTTATTACATTTGTTACATTTGTTGGGCAGATTTGCTTTTTTTTTAGAGATTTTCGCTATAGGGCGTGTGCGCTCGCCAGACAGCGACAGAGCAAGAAAGCGAGAAATCACCCCCCCAGGGGGGATGGTCACACTGCAATCCCTTCTCCTCCATTCTCCTCCTGGGATCTTGGGCATGCACGCACACACGCCCGGCGTGAGTTTTAAGCCACTGGGTCCCGGAGGCGAACCGCGGTTGACTACGTGGGAGTTCAGCGACGTAGCCATTACGCTAACTGCTGGTTCCCGGGCAGATTTGCTTTTATGATGGCCTCTGAGGAGACTAGAAGAAAGTTCCTAGCTTTCCCTTTAGGGGAGAAAAAAACTGATGCAAAGTTTACCCTAGAGAATTCTGCTCCATTCTCATTTAACCAAGGATCCTGCAAAAGCCCGACCTCTCGCACGTACCAGTATTATCTCACTTATTAACCAATGCTCTGAAACGTTAGCCAAGCTCCCCAAGGTCACACAGTGGTGGTGAAGAAAGCTGAGCCCCACCAGAAACCTTGTTCCTTTGGACCCTACTGCCTCCCGCAGACCCTAGCCTCGGTCAGCCGGTAGGAACCGAATCCTCCCGCCGGTCGGTCGCCCTGCCCGCCCTGGAGGAATCTGAGCCCCAGACGAAGCCATCCTCCGAGGTTCACCCTTTTCTGTGTTTCGAGAGCGAGGAGGGTGACTTCGAGTTCTAAAGTCAGCCTTCTGCCCTGCCCCTAGTGCCGATCCTCCTCCCTCGGACCCAGGGTATCCCAACCCCTAGGCGCCCAGTCCCTCCTCCTGCTCCCCCGGGGCCCCTCCCGGCTGCCCCCG